TGGCAAAGATACATGCAACCTTCTGTTTATTTCATTGCTGTTTTGCACATTATAAATCATTCAAAGTTTAGAAAAACAACGTATGACCTTGTTATAAATTAGTTACCTGTCCAGGCTTTAGCCAGTCCATGAACAAAGCTAACAGAGAAGATGGATGGATAGAAACATCATGTATATGTTAAGAGTCATTGGAATTCAAAATTTATATATTCATTTTTTTATATAAACAATTTTTTTCTGTGTCAAAGGACGTTGGTGGTTGCCTCCACTGTTGTGAAAAGAGAGTTAGTTGGACCCTGACGAGGTCACCACTCAACCACAGGGATTGTCATCCATTTGTATCTTGCTTCATGCTGGTTAGGGCAGTATCCCATTGGGCTGCAACTGTTGGTAAGAAGTGTGTGAAAGACATTCCTATGAAATTGTCTAAAAAAACTTTATGCGTATCTTCTCACTTGTGTTTTGAACATATTCAAAAACCTTGTACGAAATATGTTCTTTATGAGTAGTTACATAGTTGTTGCTGGTGTCTAGAACTAATCTCATTATTGTTTCAAGTCTAGTCTTAGAGCTGTGTTGACACCTGAGTAGGAGCTCATCTATAGCAGAGAACTTTTGAGGCTATTACCCCGAATCTCCAAGTCTGAAGCCAAGCCAATGATAAAAATATTTGAACTGGTCCAAATCTGTCTGTCTTCATTTTAAAAATGTTCTGTGGGGGCGCTTTACCAAAGTGTCAATACAGTTTGCCAAGGCGAGTAAATTGTGATTAAAAATGGGTCTCCAAAAATGTGCATGGCATAAAATACAGTTTTGCAAGTCATATAAAAATTGGCAATGCTTGTAAAAATAAAATAAAATAACTGGCCTCTCGAACACACAGAACAGAAGTCAGTGAAACTGCAACCTAAAATGTTTTTTACACTTTCTTCTTTCTGTTTTGAGTTGGCAACTAGTTTCCAACAGCTGCAACTCAGTGAGAGACTACCTTTAAGACTGCAACGAACTGGTACTTCTTTTCAGTAGTCGTTAGGCTAGAGACAGGGTACAACCTAGACAGAATGCTAGTCTATCTCTGGGATTAGACGTTTCCAAATTTAGCACGTTTCTTAAAAAGGACTAAATGTCATTTCTTCAAGAAAAACACTTTCCTGTTTCAGTTTCTTTACAGTTCAAATATTTTAATCAATGATATTAACAAACTAATGCAAGCACACATTTTTAGAATTAAAAAAGGTTCAATATGTGATTGAAAATAAAAATTATACTGATTTTTTTAAAACTTTTTTTATTATAACAGAAGTAAATAGATGCTATTTAGTGTAGTGACCCCTTTTTTTCATTCTTTAGACTATCTACAGAACACAGTGTGTTCAGTTCTAACTGGATTTATGCACAAAAAGTCACTGTTACTGTCCGCATCCCAGTTTTTGACTTCCTTATTGTCTAAATGTTCACTTTATTCATAAAATCCTGATGAATCTACAGCTTCAAATGTCCACTTGCCAATGTCTTGTTTGAATGTGATGACAGTATGGGGTGCCGTTTGTAAAGTTACACAGTCAAAATTAACATCGATATTTTGGTTTATTTAGCCTTTAATAAGTTTTTTTTTTTTCAACGTCACATTTTCACCATGTTCTTCAGACATTTATAAATGTCATAGTTACAAACTAAATATTTAATTTGCTAACTAAATATTTATTTAGTAAATGAAATATTTATTTTGGAAATTAAATGTTTAGCTTAGAAATTAAATATTTAGTATGAAAATTAAATGTTTAGTTTTGAAAATAAATATTTAGCCTGAAAATTAAATATTTAATTTACTCCTAAGTATTTAGTTTACTAACTAAATATTTAATTTTCAAGTAAAGTATTTAGTTTGTAAACTAAATATTTAGCTTGTAAAATAAATATTTAGTTTGGAACCATGACACTTATAAATGTATGAAAAACATGGTGAAATAATGACTTTAAAAAAACAAGACCTACTTTTTTCTTGTTAAAGTCTAAATAAATCAACATTTTGATGTTAATTTTTGACTGTGTAACTTTACAAACGGCATCCCATAATGACACGTTTCAAGAAATATATTTTTCTTAAATATCCTGATGCATGCTCAATTTTGAATTTTTGAATGTCCAGAGGACCAGACTTAACTTTTTTTGATTATTTTTCTTAAACTTTTTTATAATACCGTCATTTTTAATCTGATGACCGTTTGTAATAAACACCATATTTGCACTGATTTTCACTGTTCTTGCCTTCTGCTCTCTAGGGGAGATCTGTGCGTTCAATATCCATGGACTGGAGGCTCCTTTTGAGGCAGTGGTGCTGAACGGAACGTCTGGCGAGGGTCAGCTGAGAGCACGGGGCCTGGTGGACTGTGAGCTGCAAAAGGAATATACCTTCATCATCCAAGCTCATGACTGTGGTTCAGGCCCAGGGGGTACAGAGGGCAAGAAGTCCCACAAGTGAGTAAATCAGACACCGAGGTTGGACTAAAAATGACCTTACAAAAGCATAAATGGAATACATGTTCAACAATTCTTTTCTATAAATGCACAAAAAATATGTTCTGAAAAACCTTTATAGATAAAGGCCCAACATTCATTGCCTGCCAATGTTCATGCCAGAGTTTTAAACTAATCCATCACAGGGCAAATAAAAAAAATAAAAAAAATTAAATGGACTGTACTTATATAGCACTTTTTTATCTTATCAAGATACTCAAAGTGCTTTACAACACAATCTGTTCCCTCATTTACCCATTCATACAGCACTCTACTATTTCTGTACAAAGAGTAATCAGAGCTTTATCACATTCATACACTGATGGGACACACATCAGAGGCTATGAGGGGTTCATTGTCTTGCCCAGGAACACTTGGGCATGGGACTGCTGGTGGAATTGAACCCTCAACTATTGCATTGAAGGACTACTGTTCTAACCACTCAGCCACAGCCGCCCCCAAATTAAGAAAAATGATGTGCAATATTGCAAGATCTAGTGGAACGTGGAACACTGACTCTGAGATGAAGCTCAGCTATGACCACTACACAATTTAGCTCAATGTCTATAATACTGAATCAGTTAGAGCCTTTTTGTGTTTCCTAATGTCAGTTGTCTGTGGTTGCAATAAAAAATGAATTTGTTGGAAATATACACCAAATTATTTTGTTTTGAGAGTTTCGATAAAGTATGTCTAGTGGTTCATGAAATATTTTGTTACTGAGTCAGAGTCAGAGTTTCTTTATTGTCATTCACACCTCATGTGGTACATGTGGTGGAGCGAAATTATGTACACAGGGTCCCAGTTACATCCAACAATAAAATATAAAAGAAAAACTGTAATAATATCTAAGACATGAACTAAGAAAAACATCTACTAAATATACACTAAGCACTAATAGCATATAAACATTACGTCAAACATCAGACTGACTTGTGGGAGGGTCTTGAATCAGACTGACTCCAAAATTTAATGACTTACAGTAAGATGTACATTGTTTCTAAGAGTTTTGTTAAATTCAGTCCACAGGTTGCAAACAAACACAAACATGGGCAAAAAAAAAAAAAACATAATCAAGAGTGCACGAGTACTTCTGAAACAAGTGCAATTTTTTAATTAAATCAGTGTTGATTAAAAGTAAGAATAAGCATTGACTTCCACACTAAATCACTCAACAGAACGTTGTTACTTTTTCAGACCATGTGTGAACTCTAATCAAATTACCAGTTTAGATTTAGAAAGGGTGAGCTGTAGAGGCAGCTGCTTGTCAGCCTGTGAAATGTCTTGCTTATTAAGTGTGAATGTGTGGGTGCAAATGAAAACATGAATAAGTAAGAATTGACAGAAACAGACAGTGGCTGGTCTGAGTTTACCACAGTCATTTTAAACAATACTTCAGGCAGTCAAAACAATGCATATAAAATATGCTCTTGTTCACAGGTTAAGGATACTGGTAGTTTAAAAAGAAACAGTTACAAGTGTGTATTTTTCTACAGCCTATATTTGTGTGTATGACTTGCAGAACATGTATTCTTGACCATGCATATTATTCTATTGTCCACCTCCTCCCACATCACATCCACCTTTTGTACGCACCTTGTCTCTACATTTAAGATATGATGTACTGGAGTACAATTTTTAAGGAAAGACTGGCAGATTTAGACTAGTTTTTAAGTAAGAATTATGCAATGAGGTTTTCAGACGTGTACATTTACCTCAAAGGTTTTGTATGAGAGCTCCTGTGTATATTTCCAAATGCAGCAACAGTAGTCCCTAGCTACTTCACGGTTTGACTATCGCAGATTTGCTCTTTTGTGGTTTTTCAAAGAAAGATTGGACATGCCACACAATTGGATGAATGGTGGATGATCTACAAAACATGGATTGTTTATTTAAAATAAATTATTTTACATGTTTTAGCACCTGTGTGCAGCAGGATTTACGAAAATAAATACTTTTAATAATAATGAATCAAAAGGCTGATGAGGCAGCGACTTACAAAATATACTCAGAACTAGATCAGGTCAGACGAGCCAGGACAGGACAGGGCAATACCCAAAGACGACTCGACAAAGAACAAGACTAACAGATAAACTTATATACACAGACAGGACAGGACAGGACACAATTACAAACAGCTGGGACCAGACAAATGAGAAACCAATCAGGATTAATGAGGAGACACATTGGGGCGTACAGACAAGGAAGGCCCACTAGATGGGGCCATCTTTACAGTAGATGCTCATCATCTGTGTCACTCTCAATCTCCCTCATTCTGTGTAAATACACAATTTAAATTTAAATACTGTACTTTAATAGTTTAAATAAACAACAATGCTGCATGAGCAGCAATGTTTTCTATTAAATAATCAAGCGCGACCGGAACCGAGACTTTAGTCTCCCTCAGCCAATGGCCAGGCCACCGGGAAATGTCCCAGTGCTCCCAATGGCCAGTGCACCCCCAATTCCTGTTGCACAGCAGGTACAAAACCATTTAAAATAATTTATTTTAAATTATTTATCACTTGTAGCACCTGTGGGCTGTGCTTTTTTTTTTTGTGCTACGCTTCTTAAGCACTCCTCAGTATCTGCCAGATTGTCTGATTGACTCATGCCTGAAGTAATCCAGCGTTCTTGTTCCTACTCTGTTCCTGATCCAGACTCTAGGAGATGAGCTCTCAAAACCAATCTCCACATTCTGGAGACAGTGTTTGTCAAACTTTCACTCACATATCACGTGATCCGCCCAAACCTCCTTTCCCTCTGATGTCATTACAGCTTTGACTTTTCAAATGTGATCGAGCGCTACAAGTGACATCCTAAAAAAGTTGTAAGCGCAATCATCCAGGTAGAAAACAAAAAAAAGGTTAAATTGTGTCATCAGGACACAATCAAATGTTTTAGGCCAACATTTGTACATAATGAATGATTGTTTTCGATTGGTGTGCGCTGTTTGCACGAGTTGAAAGCCTGCTTTTGAGATTCCAACAAAAGGTTGGCTTGAACCACAGCAGTGAAGAGTACCTTTGGGACAGATCGGGTTGGAAGGCCGTAGACTGAGGAAGTCCTCTGGATGGGGGACGAAACGTTTCTCACTTAAAGAAACTGGGCCAGATGACACAGTTTAACCTTTTTTGAAGTGAAAGCTGACTTTATATTCCTGAGAAACCTTTAATTAAATATTTTTGTTCACTCCTATTTCAATTTCTGGGTAACCCTCTTAACGAAAGAGAGTGGCTCTCTTAAATTTGGCTTCTCCATCTGTGATCAAGTGCTTCAGAGTTACAGCTGACTTTCTCTTCTTGATAAAACTTTAAATACTGTTGTTTACTCCTATTTCTGGGTCTCCCTCATAATTCCTTACACAGCCAAAAAAGCAAAAGAAAGAGACTCTTGCTGTGTAATGATTTATGAGGGGTACCTGAAAATTCAACCACACACAGGAGTGAACAAAAACATTCATTTAAAGTTTTATCAGGAAGAGAAAGTCAGCTGTCACTCTGCAATGCTCAATCTCAGATGGAGAAACCAAATTTAAAAGAGAGCTGCTCTCTTTCGTCGAGGGGTACCCAAAAATTGAAACAAGAGTGAACAAAAATATTTATTTAAAGTTTTATCAGGAGGATAAAGTCAGCTATCACTCTGTAGTGCTCGATCACAGTTAGAAAGCCAAAGCTGCAATGACATCAGAGGGAAAGGAGGTTTGGACGGATCACATGATATTTGAGCAAAAGTCCAGCAAACACTCTCTTCACAATGTGGAGCTTGGTTCTGAGTGCTCAACTCTTAAGGCCCCAGTATACTCGGGCAGTCCTTTTTCCATGCGGACTCGAGTTCACTGTCTGCAGAGGGGTGAGACTTCATACTCGAGCGTCCACCCTGAGCGGCTGCAGACAAGCTCTGCAGGGCAGGGGTGTTTACCTTTGGGACAAATTGAGGACGCCGATTGGTCATTTGCTGACACGCCTACTGGATTGATAGACAGGTCGCAACCCCCCCCCCCCCCCCCCGCCCACGCCACAGCGGTCTTTTGTGTTTATATGTTGTTAATAACAAGTTCTAAATAATAATAATAATAATAAAAACAGGGAGGAGCGCTGGCCCTGCAGCCCACACATCAGACCAGCCCACCAAGAAACCTCCAGACTCTCCCACAGCCATGCTGGACCTGATTTTAATTCGCTAGTGACACATTCCTTCATTTCTCACCATTTCAGACATGGCATCAAGGAGGAGGAGGAAGAGATTGCTTGCCTTTTGGCAACAAAAAAACAAAAACAAAAGAAAGGGCTATTAAACTAGATCAGGGATGAAAATGGTGATTTAAATACATTGGTGTTGCATACAAAACAGTCCATTGCTGAGCAGTTTATTGTTCGACACTGAGTACGTGTACGAGGTCGTAAAAATTGAACTTTGCACGGACATGCCAGGCAGGCATCCGCTTAAACTCTAGTCCGGTATGCACAGAACTTCGCAGACTGACTCACGCTCAAGTTTACTGGGGTCTTTAGAGTCTGGGGTCTGAGTTCATGGTCAAAAATACAGGTGTGGGTTATCCACATAGAGGCAGGACAACAAAATTTATCTGAGGGTTTTAGCTCGAATCTGGGGTCTGAAGGCAGAACAGACGTCTAGGTCCAGATACAGTAGTCCCTCGTTTATCATGGGGGATCTGTACCCTGAAGTCCCGCGATAAATGAAAAGCCACAAAGTAGGAATAGTAGTATATATATGTATATGCATAGTAATACAAGTAGTAAGTAG